ATGTAGTCTATACACACCACCACGGACTACTACTCAACCATAGAGAAATGGAGTTCTGACACATGCCACACATGGATGAACCTTGAAACATCACGCCTAATGAAACAGAGCAGTCACCAGAGGACAAATACTGTATGATCTCAGTTGTATGAGATCAGCAAACATACAGAAGCCAAAGATGATCACTGGTCACAGGGACAGGTGGGAGGGAAAAGGGAGTTGTCGCTTACGGGCCAGTGAGTTTATGTCAGTGGCGGTGGAATGATCTGGAAAAAGAACAGTGAGGCGGTGCGCAACTTGAAGAATGTTGTCAGTATCACGGAATTGGACATGTAGGTGCTACTGAGGCAGCGCATGTCTTCTCAGGGATGTTTTCACCATGAACCACTAAGAAAAAGCTTGGCTCTACCACTGAGCACCTCCAAGTCCTCAGTGTCCACTGCTGGGATATCCTGAATACCTTCCCCGGCTACTGTTAAGAACATATGGAAGAATGGGAACACACAGTGGTACATCCATGCAACGGAAAACTACTCAGCCACAGAAAAGAAACAAAGAACCGATGACATATGCAACACATGGATTCATCGTTGAGCTGGGCTGATAACTGCAAGGTCAGTAGTTCGAATCTAGCAGTCGTTCTGTGGGAGAAAGGTGAAGTTTTCTGTTCTCATAAAGATTTACAGCCTAGAAAACTCTATAAAGGGTCACTATAAGTCGGAACCAATTTGACGGCACACAACCACCACCAATTTCTAGAAGTCCCAGTGTGATGCTGTGGGATATAAGCAGTGGACTGCCAACCACAAGGTCACTGGTTCAATCCCACCAGCTGGCCTTGGAAACCCTATACAGGGTCACTATGAGTCAGAAGTGATTCAATGGCACTTAACAACAAATGGAAGAAGTGAAATTGAAATGGCTCCTACTGTCTGCTTCCTTTTATATCTTATTCCGAGCAGGCAGAGCCACAGGGCTGCAGGGCAGGTGGGGACGGGGAGAGTGGCAGACCACAAAGGGGCAGCTGGACAGAGTTGGGGGGTGGAGAGTCCATATCTGAACTCCAGTGGGTAACAAAGGACTCTATGCATCTGTCACAACGCATAGATCTGAACATCAAAATAAATATGTACAAACTTTAACAATAGTTTTTTTTTTTTTTTAAATAAAAGGAAGCCAGACAGAGAAATAATGATGTGGTTGGTGTTCAGCGAGTGTCAGCTGATTTAGGATTCCTTAAGGCAATCCCTGAAGTGGGGGAGGTGGGAGATGTGTCAGGCTGGTAAATCTGGGGGCACATTCCCTGAGCTAGGAGACTGGTAATGGTAAACCAGATATCTGGTCCTTCACTCCAGGAATCCTAACAGAATCATTAGTGTCCTAGTGAAGCCTTAGGACCAGGAGTGACAGGCTCTCCTTTTCTTCTCAGGGTGGAAAACAACAAGGAATCAAGTTTAGAAAAGGGAGACAATGAGAAAGTCAAGCAAACCTGTGGTGTCCCCTTTAAACAGCCTACAATCTATAAGTGCCACTCCAGGTCACACAAACAAGTCATTAGGACCTCAATCTCTAAAGAATGCTGACAGCCCAGAGGGTCCAACGCCAAAAAAGCCACCAAATTAGGGGAACAAAGAATTCAGAGTGCCTTAGGGGAGAGTTCTGCTGTGTTGCTGTAGGATAACTACCAGACTGCAAACCGCAAGGTTAGAGGTTCAAACCCACCAGCTGCTCCGTGGAAACCCAGTACAGGGTTGCTATGAGCCAGAACCAATTCAAGAGCACTTAACATCAACAAAAGGGAGCTTGGAGCACTGGTGGCACAGTGATTAAGCACTTGACTGCTAACCACAAAATCTGTGGTTTAAAACCCATTAGGTGATCTGAGGGAAAAGGTGAGGCAGCCTGCTTCCAAATACAGCCTTGGACACCCTGTGGGGCACTTCTCTGTCCTATTACTAGATATCAAAACCGACTCTACGCCAGTGGGTTTGGTGCATTTGGAGGTCACAAGGTTAAGGGTTTCCTGAAGCCACATTGTTTTGACAGAGACAGGACTTGGAACCAGCCTCACCTGGAGGATGTGGAAGCCCCACCCACAACAGTCCTGGCCAACAGAGCCTGGAGGAACATCCAAATGAGCTGATAGTTCAGAGTCATCTTAACACACCCCTCAAGCCTTCTGTAGGGGTGTCTCTTCTCCTCCAAATGCCTCCTCCTGAGTGGGACCCTCCTATTTACTGGACACTCACAAGTCTGGGACCCTTTAGAGTGCTGAGGGACAATCAGAACCAGACCCCACACGTGGAACCTATAGAGATAGGATGCGGGTGTTAGGCTACCAAACCATCTGTCCCTCCAGTCATTCCGACTCATGGAGACCCCCGAGTGTGTCACAGTTGAACTGTGATCCATCGAGTGGTCAATGGCTGAATTTTTGTAAGGAGCTCGCTAGGCCTTTCTTCCTTGGTGCTTACAGATGGCTGAATCTTTCAGGTTGGCAGTCGAGGGTACCACCCAGTGATAAAGCTGTTTCCTTTACCGCCTGACCACGTTATTAACGCCTGCGACGTTATTAACAAAACGAGATCACATCCACACACGTTTAGAAAACGTTTATACACACTCATGCAGAAAACATTTTACGTGTTGTTTCCAGACTGCAAGCCCAGAAAGCAATTTTTACTCTGTCTTTAGATTCAGTCCATTTCTTAAACGCTAAGTACCCGTTATTTTTAACGTGAATACACACAAGTGAGCGAGTGAGAAACTAGGGCTCTGGAAGCTCCACTACACAGCTAAAGAGGTGGAGACGCGGTTCAGAATGCCACGGTGAGCAGGCCAGCAGCAGGTGCCGGCACTTGGCGGCTAAGTCGTCGCGGAGCCTACCTGCGCTGGGCCTCGGGCTGCCCGAGGGCCGCCGCCGCCGCGTTCTCCAGACCCACGCCCGCCCAGGGGTCCCTGCGCGTCTTCGCCACAGCACCCAGCTAGCTCGTCCCGGCGCCCGCCCCGGAAGTGGTTGCGGGAGGGCGCGGAGCACGCCGGGACGCTCTTGGGTCCCCGGCGGGGCAGCTCTAGGCGCTATGGAATTGGCCCGTCCCGCACCCGGACCTTCCGGTCAGCTCGCCCATCTGTCGGAACGACATCCACGGAAGCCAATGAGCGGTGGAACTAGTCCTGTTCCGCCCATTCACTGAACCAGCGAACCAATCCCGTTGCAGGGAGAGGCAGGACGCGCCAGGTCCCGGAAGAGGAGCGGGAGAAATTGGAGTTGGAAGTCCAGCGGTGTCTAACTTTCCTGAGAGAGGGATCCCTAAGGGGCGAGACCCTCAGTAATTGCGCCCCGGCCCGAGGGGGCGAACTTGGGCGGAGTGACGCGCTGAAGACTGTTTATATCCCTGTCAGGACCGCGCAGGCAGGGAAGGCGGGGGGACTGAGGTGAGTGGTCCCGGGCTGCCGCTGCTGCGCCGTAAAGACAGGGATTTAGAAGGAGCAGTGGGAGAACAGGAACTGTTTAGTGGGTTGGGAAGAAGGACAATAAGGTTTTCTGCTTCCCAGTTGTAGAATTTGAAAGTTTAGTCCGAAGGCTGTTGGCGTCCAGTTGTCATAACAACCAGCCACCCCGTGGCAGGCGGAGCCTGCGGGGGCGGGACCAACGGACTGCAGCCAAGAAACGGACCGGGAATAAGAATCAGGATTTAGAGACTCGGCCTTTCCTGTTCTTGTGGTATCTGACTTAATAGGAGCTGCTTAGGTGAGCCCAACTTCTGGGCCTTGTGGTCTTCAGGATCCTACATGTTTCACCGCACATTCCAACCACCGTCCCGTTGAGTATTTCACTGATCCACGTACATGTTGTTTCTCTTGCGATGCCTAACCCTCTCTTTGACACCCACCCCTGATCAGTTTCTGGCAGCCCCCTTCCTCTCTGTTTCTGTTGTCTCGTGAAATACTGAGCCGAGAATTGCCAAGCAGAGCCCTGTCTCCATAAAACACCTAATGGTGTGTGTACCAGACGTTTCTACACCTGCTGCCCCCAGGTCAGAGTCCCACACACCTGCCCCCCTCCAGGAGCTCAGAAGCAAGAGAAATTCCCACTGATGTCTCCTGAAGTCTCCCTGAGAGTTCAGGGGAAACTCTGGCAAGTCATTTAAGCCCCCTGAACCTCAGCCCCCTCATCAACAAAATGGGCATACCGCCCATTTATGGACAGTAAGATGAAAGGGGGTGACATTCACACACGACACTTACTCGTCAGACCCAAGGATCAAAATTCCAAAAACCTGTGAAGGAAACAAGATGGTCCCATCCATTCATCAGAATGTACTAAGTTCAGGCTGTGTGCCAAGCTCCTGAAATAGGGCTGGGGCTACAGACAGAACTAAGATCTGGTGCCTTCCCTCCGGGAGTATGAGCCTAAAACTATACTGTCCAGTTCAGGAACCTCAGACCCCACATGGCACAAAGCTGAGTCCAAATCCAGATGTGCTGTGCATACAGAATGAACACCAGATTTCCAAGACTTTGTACAAAAAAATAAATAAATAAAGGAATGTAAACTAGCCACTTCATTGTACACTGATTGCATGTTAAAACAAGATTTTGAATTTATGGAGTTACAAAAAATATATTAAAATTAAGTTCACCTGTTCCTTTTCATGTCATCTCATGTGGCTACCAGAAAGCATAAAATTATGGATGCTGCTGAGGCTGCATTTCTATTGGACAGCAACGATCCAATACGAACTGGGCAGTGGTCACGGAAGAAGTGGGAACACAACCCCACGCCCGCTCTCGAAGGTCCAGGGCCCAGGGTGTAGGAGGGGGCCTCCCTAGGTGAGGGAGTTGGGGAGGCCTCTCTCTCTCTGGACACCAGACCCCACTTCCCTGCTGGGAGCAGAGGGCAGGAGGATTTGCCCAGCTCTTGGACAGAAGGTGCCAAGATGGGTGGGACTGCCACCAAAGAGCTCTTGGGAATTCTGAGGGTCAGTAAAGGGTAGTGGGGCTTGAAATCCCCCCTCACTGAAAATCTGATTCTCTCATTACTGTTTACTAACCAGGTCACTGCTCTGAGCTCTGGCAGCATAGTGATTACGAGTCGGGCTGATAACCTCAAGGTCAGCAGTTTGAAACTACCAGCTGTTCCATGAGAGGAAGATGAGGCTTTCTGCTCCCGTAAAGATTTACAGCCTCGGAAATCCTATGCAGGGTCTCTATGAGTCATTAACTGACCCCATGGCGCATAACCATCACCATATATATACATTACCACATATATTATTGTTGTTAGGTGCTGTCGAGTCAGTAACAACTCATAGCACAACAGAATGAAACACTACCCCATGGGGTTTCCAAGGTTGTAACCTTTACAGAAGCAGACAGCCTCATCGTTCTCCTGTGGACTAGCTGGTGGATTTGAACCACTGACTTATCAGGTAGCAGCTCAATGCTTAGCCATTACACCACCAGGATCTCTTTAATTTATAGAATATATTTATATATATGGCGGTTGTTGTTAGGTACTGTTGAGTTGGTACTGACACATAGCGACCTTATATTTAACAGAACACTACCCAGTCCTGCATCATGGAGCTCTGGTAGCGTAGTGGTTACGAATCGGGCTGCGAACCTTAAGGTCAGCGGTTCGAAACTACCAGCCGCTCTGTGGGAGAAAGATGAGGCTTTCTACTCCCGTAAGGATTTACACCCTCGGAAACCCTGTACAGGG